CCCCCACATCCTCCTCCACTTAGGCAGCCACAGATGCTTTCTGGAGCCAATGGTACCAGAGCAGAAATGCCACCAGGCCCCACAGGAAGGCAGGTCTTCCCTGAGCAGCAGGCCCTGGAGACTTAGGTTCTCAGGCAAGCCTAGGGCTAGGGAAGGAGGGACCACTTGATCCCATGCCCAAATGGTGCAGGTGTCCCCTCCCTACACCACACATCCATCAGGTTCCTTTTGTACCTAAATCCTGCACACAGCCCCTGCTGGCGCTCTTGTCCAGGTACATATCCAGGCTGGCCAGCTCCTGCAAGCCAGCTCCTATAATGCCCTGAACCCCAGGAGGAGGAAGGGAGGTCCTACCAGGTCCACAGCTTGCTGCAGTTGGACCAGGGCCTCCAGGGCACTCTGCCTGGCACACCTCATCTTGCCCAGGGAGTGCTGGTAGGCTCGCTGCTGCAGCCTGGTCGAGAGGGAGCCCAGGCACACATAGTAGCTCTGCTGCTGCTTCTGCTGCTCCAGTGGAGCCACCTCTGCCCCTTGCAGAGAGGCAGCAAGTGCAGCTGGAAGAAAGCAGGAGAAACCACCTCAGTGGGGACCAGCCAGGACCTGCAGACTCAGGCATCAGCCCAGGCAGGGGGAGTTGGGGCCCCTGAAGGAGCTTGTGAGGACAGTGAACCCATGGGAAAGCAAATATGGCACAGCTGCCTTGCACTAGGGGGAGCAGGAGAGGGTGTAAGCTAGGGGTTAGGGGGATGCTGCCAAAGCCTGGCACAGCCTCCCTGCCCCCCAAAGTGTTGAGGGCCCCTCCACTCCAGTGAAACAATCCGACTCCAACCAAGCCCTACAAAGGGGCTTGCATAGTGTCATCCTGCTTGTGGGACCCTCAGAGGGCTCAGGTAGCATCCTCTGAACCACAAGTGCCTCCAGGCTCTGCTCACCATGGCATAACTGGAGCTGGGGCAACCTGGACCAGGACACCCCTGCCCAGTGTTTGTGGCCACTTCATGTTGCACTAACCCAACTGTACTACTTCAAATAGCAAAAAGCAATGGTTGCCACTTCCTGCACAGCTTTTTGGCTGTGCAGCACTGCCTGCTGGAAGCAGTAGCCCTCCTAGAGCAAAGGAGAACAGGCTGGAATCAATCCAGCCCCTCACTCATCCTCCAGTTCCCCCATGTGTGCCAGGAGCAGCCAAAGGGAGATCCCACAGGACTGGGGAAGGCTTTTCAAACCATGAAGGTCAGTAGCTTCAATGATCACAAGAGTAGGATACCCACTGCCCTGGTTATGGAGCCACCAGCTGCCCTCCCTGGTACCAGTCTCCTCACCCAGCTCCTCAGCCATCATGGGGAGGTAGTGGTCCACCCACTGCTCTGTCTTCCCCAGCTCCATGTCCAGGTCACTTGTAACTTTCTAGCCCACAGACGAGCCTGCTGCAGCATCCACACTGCTGGTCACTGTCAATCTAGTCTTCTCCACACCCTCCTGGACAGCTGCTTTGGCTACATCCACCATGCTGGACACTGCAGCCTTGGGCCCAGCAGCTGTGCTGCAGACAGCATCCTTGGCCACTGCCACTGGAGCTGCGTGCAGGTCCTTGGCCTCTGCAGGCACCTAGGGGAGGGAGAGAGTTTTTTACTGCATTGGAAGCACAAGGCTGCATAGGGAAGATGACAGGAGCTGGGTAGAGGAGGGCCTGTCCACCTCCTTGAAGATGCTGCCAAGACTTCTGTCACCAATAACCTCACAGCTGCCTCCTCCCAAGGCTCTACAGGTGGCACAGAGCCACAGGGCTTCAGAAAGGGCCCTCACTCCCATGGGGCAGAGGGAGTATTGTGGACATTGCTCCCTGCTGCAAGGTTGGAAGGCAGAGCTGAACCAGGGCTGACCAGCCCCCTGCCACTGCAGCCTCCAAGGCTTGTGGAAATTATTCACAGCCTTCACTGGTCCTGCCATTGAGTCTCCAGCCTTGTAACAAGCTGGCCATGACTCATTGTGGAATATTACACACCCCAGTTCCTGCTCAGCTCCACTTTCCCTCAACTGACTCCATTTTCATGTCTACCTTAGGAACTGGACCTCCAGGACCCTCCTTCTCCACATGGCCAGATAGGAGAACTGCCCTCAGTCATAGACATTGCTTTATTCACTGTTGAGCTCAAACAGACACATGCTCACCCCACAGAAAGAGGAGGTGTCAGGGTGGGCAGAGCCAGCCCTTGACTGCTCTGGGACCAAGGGGGACTCATCCAGTCCCACAGCTCTGCTGACCAGAGCCCACTCCCTGCCAAGGGTGGGCCTGCTCCCCACTCTTGGCTCACAGCAGCTGGCACTAGCACCAGGCTGGGCTGCTCTGGAGCAGGGTCCCCAATCCCAAGCAGAACCACACCCACGCCAAGCAGCCCCAGCTGTGCAGCTACCTCCTGCTCCTGCCCCTGGGGCTCAGAGATGGCAGCCTGGGGATCACTGTCCTTGGAGGCCATGGCAGGGGAATAGAGTCACTGAAAACTAGGAGGAAGCAGCAAGGAGCTGAGCAGGCAGCATATCTTCTAGTACCCCAGAGACTGCAGCTTCCCTGCCCTTCCCCATTTCCAGGAGCTGCATAGCTGTTTGTACAAGTAGTTTCCTTGAAGTGGAGTGGGGACTATCCTATGCATGCAGCCTGCTAGGGGTAGGACAGCCCAGCAGTCAGACAGTGGACCACAAGAGCCACTGCACCCCAGCACTCAGACCTGGGCCAGCCACACTGAGGGCGGGGATGACAAAGCCTCATTTCCAAGCCACAGCCAAGTACTATTGCCTGGGCCTTTACTCCTGCTCACCAGCACAGCAAGTTGCTCAGGAGTCCACTGCATAGTAGGAAACCTAGGAGCAACAGCACACCCCACTGGGGTGCAGGGCCGGGACACACTGATGGGGAACACAGCCTCTGCACATGAGACAAGGTAGCCTCTTCTCATTGCTGCCCAGAGAGCCAGGATGGAAGAGCTACCTGCTGCCCCCACACTCCTAGAGCTAGAAGGGGAGGGAAAGCCAGCCCCTCAGCTCCCTTCTCTAGATCAGCTGGGGTTTCCTGGTGGCCCCCCTCTCTCCAAGCACAGCCCTGCCTGCCCTCTCCACCAAGTCATCAGCATTCTTGGGAAACCTCAACCAACACTGCCTAGTACACGAATACAGGCAACCAGGCCATTACCTCACACCACAAGCTAAAACATAGCCTGCCTCACACACAGATTGTCTATGCCAAAATAGATACAGCCCAAGTGGGCATTGCACCTTGAGTGCAACAGCTTTCCTTCTTCCCAGGGAGCAAGGCCACCAAGGGAGACTATACCCTTTAGGTACCAAGGCTCTTTCCTTGAGACAGGATCCTGCTCTTATCCTAGGTCAAACAGTGTTTCACCCAAGGAATTACTAGGGAGACTCAGATCAGCTCTTTTTAGATTGGAAGAAGAAGAACTGATAACTTGCACCCTTAAGAGTTATTAATAAGGATTCTGCTGCACAGCCCAACCAATATCTTCTACGGAAAGGAACAGCAAAATAAACCTCACAAGAAATATTCTTACACCAGAAACCAAGAAAAGCAACTGGAAACATACAAACACCTTAAGAGCAAAGCATACAACCCAAACCCAAAATCTCTCACCATGTAGCAACACCACTACCTGCCTCAGCCCAGCCTTTATATACCTGGGATAAAGTCAGCAGAGGGCAGGGCCCACATGACAGACAGCTCTGCAGAGCAATCAGAAAGAGGTACTGTCTGTCCAGACCAATTAGCTGTTGCTCTCAAGGGGCCCTCCTCTCCTACCTGGCACAGTGATTATAAATTAATTAACTTTATTTGCTTTCAGCCAGGTGATTAGCCTGGGTAACAGAACAGGGAGCTGCAAGGGTACACAAATCCAAAGCCTTCCACATAGTTAAGCCAATCAATAGGTGCATTCCCTAATGGCATGTTTAGTAACCCATCATGTGCAACTCCTGGTCTCCTAATGAGGTGCTATCTAATTTGTCTTTGCCTCCCACACCTCGGTGCCTGTCATAACTGTGACTTGTTTGTTCTTGTTTTTAACTCACCTGATACAATTCTGTTGAGAGAGACTAGGCATACAGTTTAGTTGCAAGCCTGCCTATCTCTTGCTAGCCATATAGCAGCCTCCCTGCTGAGCAGCTACAGCCCACCCTCAATCTATCAATCGCCCATGCCATTTCTCCAGATGTTTCTCATATAACCCTTTGAAGCCCATCCACCAAGGTCAAAACAGTGTACTGAGATGTGGGTGGACGAAGGTGCCCTGGGAAGGGGCAGGTTTGGGTGTGCCCCAGAGGTGCCTTGTGCCCTTCCTGGAAGGAGCCTTCCCTGGAGTTGGGTGTGATGCAGAAGGCGTCTCCCACATAGTCACAGCATTCAGAGACTGGGATGGGCCTGCCTGTTCACCCCCTGGGAGTCTGCCCCCCTGGTCTGGATCCCAGCCTTGCTGGAGCAGAACCAGGATGTGTTGACTGGAGGGCACTGAGAGCCTGCTCTCCTCCAGCCTGGGGAAGCAGGGGTGGCCCCAGGTGTGAAACACCCTGCTGTAGGGAGAGGGGACTGTGTCTGCTCCAGCAGGACCAGCCTGCTCTGAGCACTGGGGAAGGGATGTAGTCCCTTGAGAAGAGAGCATGCAGCCTGGGGACAAGTTATCCGAAGTAAGAAATACGTGGCTTTTTATTCCAGAAGAGTGAGATGGTCCTCTAAGGCCTGATTCAAAGCCTAGTCAAGTCACTGGGAGTTTATATGGGAGTTTATTAATGACCTTTGAACCAGGGCTTTGCTAAATCAATAAATGCACTTGAAATGTACATTGTGACTTTTATTCTCCAGGAATTTCAGGGTACTCTGTACTCTTAGTGTCTGTCCATGGTGTTATTTATAGTGTGCTTACCCTTTGTATACCTTGTCTTTTTTTTTTTTTTTAAAGTAATTTCCTCTATTTTCTAAATGGAAAAAAAATAACAACAACCCAACCCTAAAACATGCTGAAATTAAAATCTTCATCTTAACCAATTTCTATTCCTCAAAAATGAGAATAAAATACTAGTCTCCTGAATCCTAGCCTTTGCTACAACCATTCTTGAATGCTGCTAACAAGGCTTAACATACCTAACCAATGGGGTTTTAAACCTCACCTGCCCAGCTGTGGGGCAGTCTCAGATCCCCCATAATTATATAAATTGGTCCCACCAATAGTTAGGTGGGGAGCAAGTTTGTTATTGTGTTTCTTTTCCAAGGTGGTTGCCTAAAGAGGGTGGCCACCTCCTTATGGGAAATGGTCTTTTTCACTTTGCTGAGGATGTACATTTTTGGCTGGTGAAATTACACTCCACATTTTGTGGAAAGGAACCATTTTTTAATCTAAAAATTAAATGTTTCAACCACAAATCATAAGCCATGTTGTAATGTCAGTATAATTAGGCCCCCAATCCTGCAAATTCCAGGGTATGCTAAATGCCCTTGAATCTGCAGAAAGGTTAAAGGATGATGCAGTTAATCATCTCCTACTGAGGCCAGATGCAAGTCAGGCTTCAGCACAGTCAGGTGCTTCCTTATCAGTGTCAGGAATCAGGGCAGCAAGCAGGCTACATTGCCCTCAGCTAGCCCTGGTTACTAAGTGGACCTGCCTGGCTGCCAGTCACCTAGCTACTCCCAGTTGGCTGCATGGGCATGGCTGCCTGAATAAAACCAGCAGCCCTAGCAATGCCCAGGAAGCTACTCAACAGGACAGGTACCCTTTTTTGTAGTCCTGGGCTTCTAATTGCTTGAGTAGTAAGGGTTGTTGTCTGCTGTGCCTTCTGGTAGCATAACAAGTAGGACCATAGTAACAGCAGCTGCAGTGGTGGCAGTGGACATAACAGCTGTTGGTTGTTTAGCAGTGGTTACAGCAGGTAACATTTCTGTCCTCCTTGTTGGGTGAGGGACAGTATGAAATGAGATGAATGGTAACTGGTGGGTCTACTGGAACTGACAGTGCCCACTGATGAGGACAGGTTCAGCAACAGAATCCCACTCTAGCACTAGGAGAGAATGCATGTGGAATCTAGTCAAACTCCATTGCAGAAGATACTGAAGCTCTGTCTGGTAGATCTACGCCTGCTTGATTGCTGTGCCTATGGGATTAGACTGAGAATGGAGGTTTAGGGGCCCGGAAGACAAGAGAGAACTTCTAGACACCTTTTCAAGAGACTAAGGACAAGGTATTTTGTTTTTAGTACAGCCCCAAATGGTAGGAAGAAAGCTGTCCTAGTTGAGAAGTTTTCAGACAGTAGCCAAACAGACTGGAGAACATGGTTAAAAAGGCAGTGTGAGGGAGTGGGGCTAGTAAAGTAAGACGTACAAGTGAGATACGGATGGGCATTTGGAGGGCCAGAGTCCTCCTGAAGGTGGACCCCTCAAGTCCAGGGAGAGAATACCCCTAACTTGTTAGAGAGAGGAAAGTACTACAGAAGCTTGCCTACTGTTCTGCAATAAAAGTTGAGTTCTTTTAATTCCTGCCTGTCCTCCATTGAAACGGATATTTTCCATGCCCTGGTGATACCAATAGGTACTAACAGCAGTGCCATATAT